ATGTTGGCCTGGAAGCTTTTCCCCCCCAGCTCTCGGAGGGTGAAAGAAAAACCCCCATCTTTGGGCTCTCTCAGCATACAGATGTGTTATTAATGATGGTAAAACAGCCTTTGGGCTGCTCCCAGCCAAACCAGTCCCCAGTTTGAGGTGAGGAAGGGCTCACGCCCGAACCAGCAAAAATGAAACGGGAGCTCTGCCATGAATTTCTCGGGTGGAAAAACTGGGCCCTCGCTCAAAGCAAGCGAAATATTTCGGATTAGGCTGACTTCCAACACACACACACACACACACACACACGTGAGCGTGTCCACAGGCGTGCTCAAGCCTATCACACACCCGCAGCAGCGCCCTCGCCGCAATCCCAGCTCCTCTCTCAACAGCAGACTCACCAAACTCAAACAGCAATTAAGAGCTCCCAAAAGTTACAGCAGCAGCACAGTTGGAGGCAATTTAAGCTTCACTCACATTTACACAGCCTACAAATCCATGCAAGATGCTTTCAGAAATCTCTTTATAGGCAAAGCCGGCATTTCCTCTGCTCAAAGGGTGCAAGAAACCCTCAAAAAAATATATATTAAAAAAACCTGAGGTTTTCTTATGACAGAGATCCAAACTATTAGATTTCACAGGGAAGCAGGAGAAGACTAAAGGGAATAGGGATGGGGTCCAAGATTGGATGCAGTGTCAGCAGCTCCGAGAGAGGACTACGCTGGAGGTAAGGAGCAATTGAGCAGGGTCTGTGGGCAGTTCCCATGGGATCCATCAGAGGGGAGCAGGAAAAACAAGCCTGGATTCACCAGAAGTGGCAGGAGTCACTAAAAAGCTGTAGTTCGACACCATCCAGACTTTACTCCAGAAAGTAATTGCCAAGTCTTGCAGATCGTTCTGTTTAAAGATAAAAATGAACCCCAGGATTGTCCCCAGCCCCTGGCTGGGGTGACACCTGCTACCCCCAAAATGTGATTTCTTCTGCAGCACCCAGTTGGGGCTGGGCACTCAGTACAAGAAGCTGAAAAGGTCAAAAAAGGGAGGTCAGGAAAGCGCAACAAACCTGATAAAAAACTTCAGAAAGCATCGGGCAAGGAAAAGTTTGAAGGTGAGTACGAAGAGCTGAGCTGAGGATAGCTGATGCGAGGCTGGTAGTCAAGGACAGGGATTTCAGGTTGCAAATGGTAAAGAAAGCAAACCAAAGTGCGTTGAAATGAAGATTGAACAGATCATCAAGAGGGGAAACAAAAAAAAAAAGGCTGAAGGTGTCTGTCAGAGGATGGAGGACAGAGACACCATAGAGCCTGGAGTGTTCAAAAATAGGTTAGACACACTCTGGGACTTCTCTTAATTGAGCGGAGGCAGTAAGAGCATGTGGTGCAAGAGGCTTTTCCACCTCCAATTGTCTTCTAGATCAAAACAAAAGAAAAAAAGGTAAAAAAATCCAACCCAAGATGCCAGCAGGACAGCTTCTCCTCATGCCTTACAAACCAACCTGACCCCAGCCTCAGGTACCACCAGCAGGAACCCCTTTGGCTGCGACTCCACAGGAGCATCAGATCCATGGTGAAGTGTAATGATAAAGGTGAGAGAAAAGAGACAATAAAAATATAACACCATTATAAACCGCCTCACACGCTACTGGTGAATGGTCCAGAGGTTTTTGCACAAAGTCAAAGCATCCTCAAGACCTTCCCACCCCCCCATCTTGTTTACAAGTCCACAGAGCATGTAACAGGTCCTGGCAAGCTCTTCAAGTGGCCCAGTAGCCCGTGTTTGCCAAACAGCCACCCATCAGATTGCTGGAGGGCCATCAGAAGGTGGTATTTTCTCTGCTCAAGGCCACGTCCATCTCAGGGTGTCACCCCTCAGCATCATCCTCTCCTATGAAGGCAACAGCCTCAATCCTGAGCCACTTAGAGAAGAAGAAACTCTCTTTAGATTCCCATGCCTTGATCTCTTCTAGTCCATGCCAATGCCACAGCCACCAAGCTCTTTAGAATGGTCTTTGGACAACCCAAGCTACTTAGGTAAAAAAAAAACCAAACCAACCCACCCCCCAGTTCTTCTACCCAGGGTTTTCATCATGTAGAGAAAACAAAAAAACCAAACAACTAAAATCATAATAGACATTCACAACCCTGTCATTTTTACGGAATAAATGCCAGTTGGTCTCTTTCCTTTGACATTTAGCTAATAATCGTTTCAGCCAAATAACCCGACAGGCCTGAGCTCAGTAGCCCGTAAATGCCTCTGGTGTTTTACTGAACGCTAAAGACAACACTTGCTGCTCTCCAGCTCCCTGGTACATGTGGTACACACACACCCACACACACACAGAGGCTCTCCTTAACCCTTCAGCCCTCTCCCAGCCCTGACATGAATCAGTGGCCGCAATGACTCGATGTGCATAAATTTAGCAGTCTGCTCCACCACCACCACCCCATGGGCACCTTCCACCCCTGTGGGCAGAGCCAGGAGGAAGGAGAGGGAGAGGAAGAGGAAGCAGGTACCTCCTCCTCCTCCTCTTGCTGGGAGAGAGGGACAGTAAGGAGAGGAATTTGCTCCTCATTAACTCCCTGCCGATTGCTACCCGATACCTCCCTCCATGAGCCATCCAACCCTGGCACCTCTCCTGCAATTCCACTAGAATTCCACCAGATTCCCACTTCTAGTTGTACAAACTTCGTTTACATCTTGAACTTTCCTTGCAATAACCTTAACACCACTTTACCCACCTGGTTACCTTTCACCTCAGCAGGATTCCTGTTTGTCAGAAGACCCCTTTTCTTGGCCCAAGTTACCTCTACTTAAAAACAGGTCAAGAAACTCCTCCCTTTATTACCCCATGCACCCGCTGGGACCTCACAGATCCCATCACCGACCATTCCTCCGTCACTCTCAGCGTTGTCTTCTTGCTTTTTTAGGCTCGCAATAAATCCTCTCGCAGGCAGAGGCATCACAAACATTACTTTTTCCTCTTCCAGCCTCTGCAGAAGGCACCTGGCTGCGTTCCCCGGGGTGCCCATTACCTGTTGGCTCAGCTGTTGCCACATCAACCTCACCGGGGTGTTGGGCACTTGCTGTACCCAGAGACAGCCGTTGGGCTGGCCAAGGGGAAGCTATACAAGAATATATAGAAATAGTATATAGAAAGCATAATGTATTGCAGCACAGACAGCATTACCGGGGGCTGTGCTCAGCGAGAAGGAACAAGGAACTTTCAAGGGACAGCCAGGCACTTTAAGCTGGGTCCATATCAGCTTTTAGTGACACAAATCCCCCCGTGACACCCCGCTTCGTTTAAGGAGAGGCCTCAGCAATTCGCAACCGCTCCTCAGGCCAAGATCTCAAAGCCCTTCAGAGGCTTTTTGTCGCACCTCTGAGGCGCTGGCACAGCTCCCGTGGCACAACGAAGGCACCAGGCGCTGCTCAGCCGCACAAGCTGCTGGCACCAACCAACGCCAGACCCACGGCGTCTGCCTGCCCTTCTTCCCCATGTACTCCCCAAAGGAGCGGGGAGAGAGGCAGGCTAAGGCCAAGGGTCCCCTGGTAAAGCCCCCACACCGTGTCCCCGAGGTGACAGCCATCAAGCTCGGGGTCTGTGAGCCTCCGCTGAGCCACGGACCGTCTGCTTCTGCTTTCTCTGCCAGCAACGGGGGGGACACGGAGCACCCAGACACGGCAGGAAGATGCAAGCCAGAGGCTTTATGCTGAATAAAGCTTCTCTCACTCAGTGGATGCAGGAGCTCGTTGCCAAGATGATCTTGTAACTTCCCCCCCCCAACCCCGTGCCATGACGCTACCTGGTTAATCAGGCAACGAGGCAGTAAGCGATGCCGCCTGCACACACCGTGCCCCTTACCAGCAACGATCTGCCAGAGAAGCTGCATGTTTCCACCTCACAGAGGTGCTTTCTAACAGAAATGCCTCTATTTTATCTCTCAGAGGTGGTTTTACCATGAGGACAGAGATTTTAAAAAAAAAAAAAACACACCCTCCTCCACCAAAACACTCCCTCACACGCGAGGATTTGCTTTGTCATGCCACTTCAACGCAGGCACCGCAGCCACAGCCAGGGAATTAAAGCCCATCTCGCCTAGAAACTCCACAGCAATCCCTCCACTCCTTACAAAATAAACCCCTTTTTCCTTGCAGCAACGCCAGCCCAAAGGCCGAGGGACCCAACGTCAACAGATTCCTTCCCGTCCCCTGGCACGCCGCGGGAGCTCTCTCCATTTTGGGTCGTACCAGGCAGCCTCGAATTACATCGCATCCGATCTGCTGCAAGGGAACACGAGCTCACCGGGGCACAAAGCAGCAGAAAAGGAGGGGGAAGAAAAAAATCAAGCCCACTGGGGATTGTCAAACCCATGAGAAGCAAGCCCCTCCGTGCCAGCAAGCCCAAGCTGGGAGGCTCAGCAGTGATGCTGGGGGGGGATGGAGCAGCTTGGAGATCCCGGGATGTGGCTACTGGTCCCTCACAGAGGGGAGCTGCTCAAACGTGTTACTGATGGAGAACAAAGAGAGGGGATGCAGGCTCCCGAGATGCTCCGCTCCCAGCGGATTGGGATGGGACAGAAAGAGAGCCCCAGCTTCGCCAGGCTCCATCCATTCCTCCTGCATCCAGCCCAGCCCAGGGCTGCCCTTCACCTGGCTCGGCCCAGACGCCGGCGACGCTGCCTTCACCTGAGGGAGAAGCTCTTCCTGTGTCCGAAGCTCTTCCCGTGGAGGCTGCCGTTGACACAAGCACCCACCGCCCCTTCAGCGGTGGCGGGCCCTGTGGGGACCACCGACGGCCTGGCACGGTGGCGACCCACTGGGTGACACCAATGGCCACAGGGAGCCCCCAACTCGCCTCACGCCCACGGCTCCTTCCCCGGGGGCCACGGAGCCCCGTGGATGTGAACCCTGGGCCTGAGGGGAGGCCCCGGGCCTGAGGGGAGGGGAGGCCCCGGGCCTGGCAGGACCCCGCAGGCCTCCCCGGGCCCCGGGGTGGGCTCTGGCCCTACCTGCTCGGCGCCGTAGGCCGTGGCGAACTGGACGAACTCCTCCACCCGCACGAAGCCATCACCATCCCGGTCCAGGGCGTCGAAGACAGGGCGGAGGCGCGGCTCCTCCTCCTCCTCCTCTTCACAAGGGGCCGGGGGCTCGGCGGGGCCCTCCGCGGGCGGGCAGCCCCCCTCCTCCTCCGGCAGGGACCACGGCGGCGGCCCCGGGGCGGGCTCGGCGGCCTCAGGTGCCCAGAGATCCGGCTCCAGCTCCGGCTCCGGCCCGTCCCGCCGCGGCCCCCGGGGGAGCAGGGGCTCGGGTCCGGGCTCGGCCGCCGGCGGACGCGGCTCCATGTTCACCGGAGGCGCTCAGCGCCCGCCGCCCGCCCCGCCACAACCACCACCCGGTAGCCATACCCCGCCGCCATCACCCCTTCACATCGCGGTGCTCGGTAAACCGGGTGCGGCGA